GAGTCACGATTTGTGGCGGGCTTTAACTGGGCTGGTCTTAGAGAGCTAACTAACAGCGGAATACTTGCGAGCACCGGTAAGGGCGGGTATTAGCTCTGCTAAAAGCTCACCGAACCCCGACCAAAAGAGAGCTGGTTTGAGGTGTATGTTCCACATTGCATACACGAAGCTTCTAACAGCCCTACGATCTTAGTGTATGAGACCACGACTCAAGATATACTGCTACGTATAATGGGGCTTATATCGAAGTGGGCACCCACAGAGCCGATCCTATCTCCAACTAGCTTTGAGATTTGCAGTCACAAGTGGTCCTAGAACAGCGTAGAGCGTAGATGAAGGGGCGTTGAAGTATCAATAGATCCATACTACCTAGTTAGTTAGAATAAGATAAAAGTTAAAAAATAATAAAACTACTAGACTATTGGTAACGATCTAAGTGGGATCTGAGAGCGTCAGAAGGAAAATAGCAACCCGGATATCGCCCAGCGCCCCTAGATTCCATCCCTTCGCTCGGTCTTTCTTTTCCGCGTTCGACGACCTTCTTTTCGTACAAGGAAAAACCTCCTCCGCCAACAACCCACCCGCCCCTATTCGGTAGTAAGGAACCCCTCCCGCCGCTCTCCGGCGTTGCTAGCGGTCGGCTGCTTGCGCCCCTCCCCTCCGTCTAGTCGCTGACCTCGATGGGCCCGCCCGGGACTACGGGGTCGGGGGTAACCGGACCGCCGGGGAAGCCCGGCAGAGGGAAGAAGGGGCCGCCGGGAACGTAGTCGTTGTCGACGACGCTTCGCTTGCCGGGCACGAAGGTGGTAGTTGTGCCGTCGGGTGATTGGATGATCTTGATGCCGTACTTGGTCAGGAGCTCGTCCTTGATGGAGGCGATGCGCTTGGCAATAGGCTTGGGCGGGTCCGTGCCGAAGTTGTGGATTAAAGCCTCGTACTCGAGCTCCAGGGCCTTGATGTGTGCCTTGACAGGGTCAGAGCTGCCGTCGCCGATTCCGATCGTGTCCTGGCGCTTCTTCTTGTCGGACGGGTCGAGGCCGCCGGTGATAGGTGGGAGGACTATGACGGTGTCCTGGCGCTTCTTGGTCGACGGCTCCAGGCCTCCGGTGATGGGAGGTAGGAGAGTGAAGATCGGCGGCGGCGGGCTGCCAGGTCCTGGGAGCCAGGTGTTCGGGTCGGGAACGATGATATCCCTCTGCTCCGTGGTCTTGGACGGCTCGGAGATAGGGGCTGCGGAGGCCAAAGCCGCGAGGGCTAGGGCGGTAATGCCAACACGGTACATGGCGAACTATTTTTTCGTAGCGAAGATTGAAGTATTATTCTTAGCTGATATGCTGTGATGTATGTATGTATATCTACCTAGGTAGATAATTAAGTATTTGATGTCGTTGCGATGTTGCTGTCGTCTGTTTGATATTCTCAAAACATGCCCTGATCGTCGTCTTCGTCACCCACATTTATACAAAAGTCTTCCCAGGTAATTCGTCATAACCCCCCTCTTCTGCGAGAGATAAGAAGAGCCTAGTCGTTACCTGAAAACAAGGTTGAGTTCATTTATTGTTAATATCGATATATTGGAGCTACGGCGCGGCTGGCCCCTAGATAACACAATATACCCGGGGTGAAGGGGATTTTAACCGGGTCGAGTCCTTCTACCCAACGAACCACACACGAACCACGCATGGGAAGACATTTTCATGATGCTTTTTAAATCTGCCTTTGCCGGTCATCCGCTTATCTCGCTGAGAGCCGTCAATCACGGAATAGGAGCGAATCGTGGTCATATCCCTTTTAGCTCGAGCGTAGGCTGATGTCGCCAGAAAGGAGACATCATCGTGGAGTGTGCTCCAGGTTTGGGCGTTTAGCAAAGCATCTGACTGTTCAAATGAGCCGGGACCTAAGACGATGACGCTACCGACGGCTCGAGATTCTCTATTTTTGGAAACGTCAACTTCTAGAACTCGTCGTGGTTAAGTATTTAGACTCTTTCGCTTATGTGAAGCTATCCATCAAGCAATATAACCAACGGCTCTGACCCAAGCAGCTGTGTTATGCAGTAGCATAGCAGGTGGGTTCGAGATAGTCGTCGCTATGTAGGGGAACATCGTCGAAGTGTCACGATGTGTTTAGCTTCATGCAGGGGACTAGCAAGATTGACGGGACCGAGAATCTGGAAAAATCTGGACAAGTCTTCGAACAGGGGATTGAAGGAAAACTGCACTGTAGTCCGGAAGCAGAATCGGGAGACTAGCCGTTCGAGGCTGGTCTGATAGGAAAGATTATAGGTTACTTGGGGCCTAATGGTCGAGGGTCACGCCATTAGATCAATGGTTGGTATAAGACTTCGTCGCCGCATTAGGGTTGGGAGCTGGTAGCCCGTCCCGAGAGTTCTGCTTCGGGAAAATACGATATGCCAGAAATAGATCCAGCGTGACATCGTCTGTTTCCAGGGTCCAGCCCTTTTGTTGGAGAACCGATATTTGAAGCTCTTCACCAAAGCTTGTGAAAGGCCATTCGCAAGTTCAAACGAAACACCACTTGAAAACCACTTGTCAAGTGACGCAACTCTTAGGATAGTATATTGCTGACATGCGGGGAGCCGCAATCCGTCTGCGAATGCACTACGACATGGCGAGACTGGGATCGCTGCATGACGCCGTACGTAGATAGGACGGAGGCCGCCAACAAGTAGGCAAGCGGCCGCCCATCAAACGATACATATCAGATCTAGAGCGTCGGTATCCAATGGCCGTTTGGTCTTCCTCGCGGCTTTTGGCAATCTAGAGTGAACTCGTCGTAAGCTTGACATCAGGTTCGGCGACCCGGGTATGCCCACACGTCTTTCGATGTTGGGGTGAATGGCCGACTGAGAATCTAGATTACGTCGCATGCCACCCGGCTGGGGACGGAGCTTAGATCGATTCCTCCTTTCGGAGCGTCTTAGGACTTGTGTGGCATTGGACGGTTCCAGCTCACTACGGATGTCTACTGGAGCACCCCGGCGAATGCTTACATAGTAAAAACGCCGACTTGACGCCTAGCGAGTAGCACCGAGCGCCGCAATAGGTTGCTTACACATGCTTCGATCCCCTTCCAAGCTTCGAGCTGTCACGTCACTGGTATCAAGCCAGATCTTGAGGGTTGGTAATGAATTCATCCGCTATCCTACCTTGCTTGCAAGCTGCAGCATAGCACGCTATGTACCATGAGCTATTGATAGCGTCAGAATCTTCACGGATTAGAGTGTCCAGCTTAAACTGTTCCTTCTTTCCCCACGGTCGTGGGAAGGAGGAACAGAAGAGCCAAAGTCAAGTCTGTTCTAAATATGGACGACAAAGGTCTATTGATACAGGGGTTATTAGTTATTCGTATTTTCGGACTAGCCTAGAACTGAACCTAAGGGTTTTGCTGTTTCCTGGGTAGTGATGAACATAGCGGATGACTGAGTTGCAAGGTGTAGCTGGGTTGCTTTTGAAGTAGTCCACACATCTCTGTACAGCTATAATAAGCCTAGACCATAATGTTCAAGCCTCATCACCCCTTGACTATAAATATCTTTGGCAGTTGAAAATACAGTATTTTAGTGTTAGAATTGAATGATATTTCTGTTCTCTTCTTGTGGTCTAGAGCGTCTCATGATGGTCTTACTCGTCCCAACTCTTGTGGTGTCTTCTACTCTGGACCGAGATAGGTAATTTTCTATTCCTCGGGAAGTCCTTGAATAGTAACAGTAGTACGAGCCGGTACATGCTTCAAGTTTGGATTAAAAATAGAAGCCAAGCATGAACGAACATTCATGAGTGAAGCTCGTCATTACCAACAAATTTCATCTTTAAATTATCCAGCAAGGTTAGATCGTCACCTCGTAATCAATATCCTTTTCCTTGTAATTTCTCTATCTAGTGTAGGTTAACTTCGATACCTACTACTTTTTGAAAAGTCAAAACTAACAGGGAATGCCTCTGCTCGGGTAAAGGCGTATATGATGCCAGTGCACGTAAACCGTAGAGGAGCGGATAGGGCCTCGTCATGGGACATCTATCTGCCGACTCCCTATTGCAACTACAATTACGATGATAAGCAAGTTGTGAAGGTTATATATTGTGACCTTGGCGATCACTCTGAGAGAACAGCTAGTGACACCTTCAGCAGGCGTATAGTGTAGGTTTCGTCCAAGGGAGAACTCATTGGAACATTTTCAAGAAATATGCTGCCTTTGGTCCGAATATAGGCGGAAGTGACGCGTCTATTCCTAGACACGTATATTCTGATTTTGGAATAATGCCCAACTTTCTATGCATGTAGCAGCCTTACTCGAGTCTCCATTGAAGCGGCAGATGGTCAAATCCATGCTCCCAGGGAGGGAACATCGCGTTTAAAGTCGAGAGATACCTCACGCGGTGATATTCTCGTCTTTGCTAGAATAGTATGAGAGGTTCCGTTGCTAGGTTCCCGGGTTCTGTATTAGAAGATGCCTTGTGCCTGCTAAGAGCATCTTGACGCGATATCGGTAATCATTAGGTGTTATCCCTATACTTGTTGCCGCCTTTTAATTCTCCTAGTCTATCCAATATCCAATATACGATAACTAACCTCCTATCAAAGAATCAACACAATTTACACTCTAAATCAATCATAGATATTTTATAGAGTAGATCACTAGGTTAACCATTTACCAAACTTGATCTATTAGCAAAGATACTCTATTAGCAAAGATACCTAGGTACCTAGTTTATTAGTCAAATGTATATTTTACTATCGCGCAATTGAAACTTCAAGCTGTTTGATATAAGACGTGCCCCTTTTATTAATACTTAGTGGGTCCGTGCACTACCCAGGGTCCCCGCAAAAAAAAAAAGTTTGTAGGAATTTGCAATATGTAGTAACTACCTAACTGCTAATAAGACAATGACGTCGCAACTAATTACTACAACTACAACTACAACTACAACTACAACTACCTCCCAAGTAGGTCGAGGAAGCATCTAAATCTACGCACCATGGTCGCCACTGCGTGCCCTTTCCTTCGCCGGGCTCTGCTCTACGGTAAGAGATATATGTTGCATACCCACCTAGACAACCGAGTCTTCTTCTCCCGTCTCTAACCGATATCACAGTCCCGGCGTCGTCAACCCGAATGCTATACAAATCCCTCAGTCTCTCCTGCGACACCGTCATCTACGACCTCGAGGACTCGGTGACGCACTATGCAAAGATTGATGCTCGCGATGCCCTCAACCAGCACTTATCCCAACTAACCGAGCGGCCGGCCTCCATCTCCGAGATCGCCATCCGCGTCAACAACGCCCGTTCTCCTTATCTGGAGAAGGACCTCAGGCTTGCCGCGTCGATTCCTCTCGTCGATACCGTCGTGGTGCCTAAAGTGAACACCATCGGCGACTTGAGGACTGTTTCCCACTTTCTGAAAAACTACGAGAATAAGTATTACAAAGAGATACGCACTAAGCCCGTAAGGGTTATAGCCTTGATCGAGTCGGCGCGCGCTGTAATGAACCTCTCGAATATCTGCCAAGGGCCGCGCCTTAACGGCGTAATCTTTGCCGCCGAGGACTTCGCCCTCGACCTGTCGCTCACGCGGACGCCAGACATGACCGAGTTCTTATATGCGCGGTCTGCCATCGTGACAGCCGCCCGCGTTGAGAACGTCCCTAGTGTGATAGATTTAGCATGCACATTATATAAGGGGGGGGACGAGCTAGCGCAGCTAGAGGAAGAATGCCGAGGCGGAAAGGCCTTGGGATTCAATGGCAAGCAGTGCATCCACCCTTCGCAGGTCAAGACGGTACAGCGGCTCTTCTCACCCACCGAGAAGGAGGTTGAGTGGGCTGTCAGGGTTAATATAGCGAGCAAAAAAGCCACAGCTGCGAAAATAGGGGCTTGGACCCTAGATAATAAAATGATTGATGCCCCGGTTTCCGCCAGGGCGGCAGAAATAGTTAAAAAGGCGGGAGAATGTGGTATAGATGTCGATGGACTACGAGAAAAGTGGAAAGATGAAGAGCCTCAATAAACCACCTGTAAGTATTAACCTTGACAAAGATGCGACTGCACATTGCGATATGGTACTAATATATTGGTGTGTAGTATTTATCAGAATCGAGAGAACTGGTTTGGACGCCAGAAGCTTGACATTTCAAAACTCCCCTCCTCAAATTCTTCCAACGGTCGTGTGATACCAGGTAAAATCCTAGGAGTGCCAATACTGTGCTGGGTATACGGCGCCGCAATATATAAACCCTCTTCGCATAGCTCAGTTGTCCTCGGCCTTCTTAGATCTAAATAATCAGGATCGAAATCAGGAGATAAGTTGAGAGGTGTCTCCTTTTCCGTATTGTAAACTATGAGCTGCTCGTGGGATAGTCCCGTTTCGAGCGAAGATGGGTCTAACGCTCTCTCCTCTAATCCTAGACTATCATAACTGCCGGGAGAGAGTTGCCACTGTGACTCGTTCTCTATTCTGGCGATAAATTCGGCCATAGTCTCAAGTTCCTGTGATCCCGGAAAATCTCTTTGGTACGAGCCTCTACTTAACCTCCCTCCATCTTGATTTTTATAGGTAGGCGGGGTTACACTTGGTTGTAATAAGGTGGCCCCTTCTCCTGATATTGGGACTGACGGCCCCTTTTGAGCTATCCAGGGGACGTCATTAGAAGTTAACAGGGTATGTCCATTATTGGCGACCGACTCATAAAATAAAGCCTGGCTACAACTTCCGAGGGATTCCCGGGAGTCTTGTGTGTCTTTATCGTGATTTGTTACACGAGGAACTTGTGAAAATTCAAAATTAGCTGGAGCCGCGTTCTGTCCCCATGTATTAAATTCTACATCGGCGCGGGATATAGCAACGGAGGCGCTTCTACTATGCGGCATAGGCGGGGGAGGCATTGCATCCCTAGAAGCTACAGATGCTTCGTCGCTCGCCTGCTGTTTCCGTCTCTCCACGTTTTGATCTACATGTATAGCCGTCGTCTCGAGGATTTGGTGAATAGTGACAGGCTTGCTATCTGAGCTACGTGGAATCCCAACATGTTGCCTTGAACTACCCCTCTCAATAGGAGTTAGACGAACTTCTCTAACAATCTGCTGACGGTCAACATTATTAGAGATGTGCGGTATGTGCAGATTCGTCTCCTCTTGAGACCTAGATGCATGGCGATCTTCTGTTATTTGGACGGCTTCTGCTGACTCTGAGAATTTATGGGGGTCTTCAGTCATTATAGCTTGGTCTCGATACCTAACCTTGCGAGATCCATTAGAACCTTGATGCATATTTTGATGGGCGTCCTCCGATTCTATGTGATGAACGTTATATGCTTCCGTCTCGATTGTCTTTCTTGCTGTACTTGGCTCAGTTGAGTGACCGTCGTATGAAGACATTCTAGTATTGCCGTATCCTCCTGTCGTTATGAGATCTACTTTCATTGATTCTGGAATGGTTGTTCGGATCGAACCTGACGCATTTGGGCTGCAACGATTGTCCCTTTTATTAATACGCGGCGAGTGGCGACTACTGGACCATGTTAAATATGTCGTATCTCTGCCTGCGTCTTTTTCATCTGGGATTGTATCAAGGGAACCTAGTCTGACAGGATTGGCAGTCTCATCGTGGGCTTGGGATATGTAGTTGTTCTTAGAATATCCATGATGACTTGGAGGTGACGAACCGGGAGGTTTTCTGCCGCGGATGGGCGTGAATTGTTCGAAGTGATGTCCCATTTCCCGGTACTTTCTACCGGTATCCGGCTTATGAGGTCTTAACCCGGGAGTATCTCTGTCGGCTTTATGTGGTAGGAAAAAGGACGATACTTCCTCCATTTCTCGGTCCTCTCGTCGTTTCTCCCTCATGCGGGACTTAGATAATATTTTTGGTTGAATGTTACTACTCTGCTGCTTTAGAAACTGCATATCGGAGAAGGTTAGATCAGATACTGTTTGCTATTAGGTTCCCACAACTAAAAAATCCTTTGAACATAGTTATCCTTACTTGGCTGTTTTTTCGATGATCTTCCATTGTCGAATAGACCAGGTTTTAGATGTGGTTGGACCTAAGCGTAATTTAGACCAATACCACTCACATGTGACGGGGTCCTTACCGTAATGCGTTCATTGAGAACAGCATTGGAAGTGAAATTATTCATCACATTTTTGCTAGATGCCATGGATTTTCTCTTGTCCACTTTCTTGCGCTTTTTACCCCGGTGGTTGCTATGGTCTACAGTACTTCCCTCTTCGCGATTTCGTTTTCTTTTCTTCGTTTCATACTTGTCTTCTCTAGTCTTTCTTCTAGGTCTTTTCTCAAAGTTCGGCTGCTTGTCCGCACCAGAAGTGGTCGACGAAGCATCGAGATGTACCAAATCTGCGTCTCTCGGGGCTCCGGTAGTTAGAGTGTCCACATGATCCCCTTGAGCGGAGCCGGGGGTATAGCTAGGAGGCTTGGTAGTATTCTCAAAACCACTGATGAGCGAACTATCACTAGGGGCCGTTCGCCTTCGCGGGGATTTTCTCGAATCCTTTGGACCCGAAGTCTCAAACGGAGAACCTGATTGGTACATATAACGACTAGGAAAGTCGTGACGAGGACTCCATCTCGGATCTACACGCCCAGGGCGTTTATTGTATGGGGACGTCGCATCAAGTGGTCTATACGGGAAACTATTGCCTGAGATTTCTTTTCGATATCCTTGTGGCGTACCAGGCAAGGGGTGGGGATCTAGCCTCGCTGTCTGCTCTAGCCAGTCTTTGACAATGTCATAGCGTAGCTGCGGTTGCGACTGCAACGCGCTATTCGACCCTCCTAGAATCGAGTTGTCCTTGCGGGGTTGACGTGGACGTTTCAGATGTGATCTATTATTGGGCATTTCGTATGAGTTGTTTCCGTCACGCGGCCGATTATAGCTATAGCGATGATGTGAAGAGTGACGCGGAGGCGGTATAGCTTATCTCAAAGTGTGAGTTGAAACAGCAAAAAGCTTCTGAGACAAAGCAAAGATATTACGTCAAAAATGGCAGGTCTACATATTGTAAGCCTAGGCCCTAGGGTATACCCGCAGTGTGGTAGATCATGTTCTAAGCCACGGGAAAGCAACTTTAGACGAGACGAGATGCGTGGGGACTAGGTTGTGTTGTTGGCATGATGGTTGGAATATCCCAGGGCTACGGAACCTAAGACTTAGCTGAAATTCAAGTTTATGCAAGTAATACAAATAATAATACAAGTAATATTATAGGTATAAATTAATAAGCGTATATGTAGGTACCTACCTTGTCATGTACATATAAGTAAGGCGAGGCATGTGCACATCAGTAAGAAGGAGCTACCTCTTCACGTGGGGTTTGAGGTTATTACCTGTATTTTCTCTTACGATGGATATAGTGTACCTTGAGGGACATACGCTATTGAAGTAGTATATCGGTACATGTATGCAAGTGTGGATGGAGACGCATACATGTGGGTACATAAGCTTGATACTCTGTCGGAACCGACACCCAGTGGTCTAGGTGCTTATTAATGCTTTTAGTTGCTACCGAATTTCCAATCTTTTGAAATCTACATACCTAAGAGGTACCTACCTAAACTATTCAATCTACACCCATATGAGATGTCTATCCTATAATTAGAACTCGGGCGGGATTGGCGCTTGCTCTTACTTGGAAAGTTTTCATCATTGATCTAGCCTAGATTTTCTTTTCATAGTTATCATAGGTTATTACAAGTTAAAAATGTTACGTGAATATTAATAGTTAACGCGTGTTGTAAGAGCCGCATGTCAGCGTCGTGTCGTGCATTGCGGGTAATAATACCATTATTGAACGACCAAGCTTCAATCCCAAGACGTCTGAGAAACCTTGCCAAGAAGGCCCCTGATTGCCCCTGGATTGGAAGTTGGAAATCTTAGCCCGACTGGTAAGTATAATTGGTCTGTGCAACCCCGCAACGCTCAGGTACGCCCTACATTTACGTCTAAGGTACTAAGGTACCACTACTACATCACCTCAATGTCCATACACACTAAAGAATTAGAACTCTCAACTTTCACATGTTGGATCTTGGCAGCTCTGACATGTCTAGCATATAATTAGCATATAATCAATACCACATATTAAGCATCTACTTTACCCCTCAACGCCGAGGTTTAGTGATTGGCAGATTGCTGATAAACTTCTTCTTCCAGCTTAGGTCCAACGCGTTTCATTGCCCTGCGTTTGTATTCTACTCAAGGTCCCTCAAGGTCCCCCGAGCCAAGGGATGGATATTCGGAGCGCCAGCCGGCCCCATCAACAAGTTGCGCTAAATGATATGTACAATTACATACAGCCTTACGACTAAGAAGCTGTAAGTCTTCTTATTAAGTGGACTCGGCATTTGGATCAAAATTGCTCAATGATCGACTGCGACCTCCACGGCTGCATACAGCGTCGTATCCCATGCGAACAAGCCTTTGAGTACGCGGAACGCATCTTGTATCGAATCTGAGCCAAAATCCCTCCGCTATCGAATTCGTATTTGTTATAGTTATTGGCTACCATCGTTTTCCATCTACCTCGCCTTAGCCACAGATCATATCCCACATTCCATACTACCCTATCATCTATCATGGGCTTATAGCGTACCCTTCTACGAGCAACCGAGATATCCGCAACCGAGATATCCATAGTGTGTATATAACTTCATACGCAGTATCAGTATGGAGCTAGACTCAGCTCTCCTCTTCACTAAGGAATTAACAGGTACCTAGTTATCAAGTTATAGAGGTTAAGAATACACGACGGCATCACCCAAGGGCCGAGTATAACGATTGAAAACAACGATTATACGGGTTTTGGTTAGATAAAATGCCCGTCTCTAAGAGCGTACATCCTAGGATATGGTATTTCGACGTTTCACTTTTGCCCACAACTAAATGCAGCACATTTTCATCCTAGTCCGTCTCGAATCATACCAGGATAATCGGTGTCTCTAAGTTGGCTCTTCGGAGCTCTACCGTATTGCAGTATTGCAAGGTCTTGAGGTATTTTAATGGACTTCACTAATACCCCCCACCTCAGAAAGCAGCATATGTACCTAGGTAGGTAGTTTGTATTTTTCCTATGGTCTTCAGCACTGACGCGAGGGTCTAGCCTTGTGGATAAGCAAGCCCCTCGGGAGACTATGGAGAGGCGCTATGTTCTCTTGCATTATTTAGCCAAGCAAATAAGACTTCCTGTTTTGAACTGATGTCCTACGGCGATTGGTTGATCACAGAAGTCAGGGGTCCAAAAATGGCACCCCTGTGTGATTGGATATCGCGCTTTTCCTCAAATTCTTCGAGCTCGTTACAGCTATTTCAGGCCCAGCGAGTTTTAACAAAAAAAAAACAAAAAAAACCGATTCCCATAGGGCTCGAAAATCATAGGCTAGAGAATAGATAGCGAACGGACTATAGCTTTCTTTTTTTAACCCCCAGGCAAGGATTACGAAACTCTAGTATTCACTATTCACTACCTAAACTGACGGACATGGAATCTTGACAACTCCGATCGGCCGCACTTACATACACGAGAATAGGTAGATGTGGAGTATATCCTACCTAGCTGGTCGGGGCAGATGCTTCGCAGATCGTTCTCGAAGCCAATACGCCTCCTTTAACCGCGTTATGTCGAGCAGCTTGGACCACACGAAGCAAGCATACCGCTGATTAATGACATTCCATTCTAGGACAGATCCGACTTAGCAATTCGTCTGGCACATGTAGTTTGTGCTGCGTGGAGTCCCATGCCCTCTCCTTAGGGCAATTCGAGGTCACTTGCACCTCCTCTGTTTGATGCTTGTTTTGAAGCTATCCCTGCTGGCTACCTCCTTCTTCTCTTTGTTGGTGGTGGGTATACGCTTGTTGAGTATTGTAGTCTGACAGCCTGTGCCTAGGGCAAGTAGAATATATTGTATAAAATCAGGCGGCCTCGAATACATAGATATCTTTCGTTCCTCGTTCACGCCAACAGATACTGGTTGATTTGTCATTTAGAACGCCTTCAAGTTGCTTTACCAATTTTTATAATCCTTGCCTATCCGGCCACCTGGATCTTGCATTTCGTACATTATCAACCCTGCCATCTTTACCGTACCGAAATACCGAAATACTTTTCACTTCGTTACCCTTGCACCTATCAGATACCTACATACGTCACCTAAGCCCTAGCATCTGCAGACCTTCCGGCACTGGTTACTGGTCAAGTTTGCAAGTCGAAAAAATAAAATAAAAGGCAACAACGATTTGTACGGTTGCTCTCTTCCACGTCTTCCACGTCTTCCACGTCCCGCCCCTGCCTCCCGTACAATTAGTGGACCCAGTAGCTCCTTCCTCCCTTGCTGTTATCTTGCAGATTGCTCCTCCCACTTTGTTTAGACAATAACGGCAGTATATGTGTGCAAGCAATCACTACCTACATATATTACATACATATTCACTACATATACCGGTGTACTTTTATTTCGACTCTCCCGATCCGCACATCGTTATTACGTTATTACGTTATTACGGGCCAATCATTAACCTTATTTAATGCAGATCCTACCCTTTTGAATCCAAATCTTCAGTCATCAACAATGTCGAAACTATTCATCGGGTATGGTAAAACGGAGTTCCCACCTATTATTTACTTGGCTAATCCGAATGTTCTCCTCTATTTAGTGGGCTTGCATGGCACACTGAAGATGCCACGCTCAGACAGAAGTTTGAGGAATTCGGTCCCGTTGAGGAAGCGGTATGTGGTCTTATTACCATCTTTCTATAGCACTCGCACTATCTTAGATATGGGAGTCTGGAAACTCCACCGAGGCTATATTCAGAACTAATTGGGTTGATATTAGGTTGTCGTCAAAGATCGCGACACTGGTCGAAGCAGAGGCTTTGGATTCGTCCGATACGTGAACGAGGAAGATGCACAGAAAGCTATTGCAGGTATGAACAACGTTGAGTAAGGTGCCACTTCCCAATATTTCGGAGATTTATCTAACGGAACAAATTAGATTCGACGGACGATCTATCCGTGTCGATAGAGCATCCGATACTGGTCCTCGAGGCGGTAGTGGACGGGGTGGTGGGTACCCGCCTAGGGGTGGGTACATGCAGCAACCTCAGATGCCCTACGCTGCTGGCCAGCCGGTTGCGTACGGGATGCCGAACCAAGTGATGTACCAACCGGCCTACGGACGCGGAGCAGGTTACCCGCAGCATAGTTACGGAACACCCCCACCTCAAGGTAAACACACAAACCCCTTAAGAATATTTCAACTTAAATCGGTATATGATTAAACTAACCGAATCTTACAGGCTATGCACCCTACGGCTATCCGGACCAACAGCAAGCGGGTCAACAGCCCCAGCATCAACAGCAACCGCCTCAGGGGCAGCCGCCGTACCAGTAGACCTGCTGTGAGCAACACAGGGAGTGTTCTATCCAAACCCCAATGCCAACATTATGCAGAGTTGGCATCTGCTGAAAAATTGGCCTAAAAGGCACGCTCGTTATCGGTGAATTGGCGCTCGGAGGTCTGATGTTCCCACAACACACTTGACACTCCTTATGCACAACACGGCCAAAGTGGTACTCTCCATTTGTCACCATTTCATTAAATCATCCTCAACTATCAAGTCTCTATCTCTGAGATGGGAGGATTATAGTGAGTATATCTCACCAATGTACATACATTCGTTCGCCATCTTCTATTCGAGGCTCTATGGCCTTTATGATTAACGTGAATATTCACGTCATCTATCATTTTACGAGTCTACGAAAGACCAAAGAAGTAAAGAAAGAAAGAAAAGAGATGGGAGAGCTACTTGAGGATTAAGAGTTCGACCTTCTCGAGAAGAAATCATCATGAACCTGGTCCCGGAGGGTGATAGGGGAAGGCAAAGCCGGGAACGAACTGTGTAGCAATAGCGCTCAGATCAATGGACATGATTTCCAATGATTTTCCCTGTTGAACTTCATGACCTAAGTACCTAACGCAATTCTCTATCTCGGTGCCTAATGTTTACAACACCTCTTCCCCCCTGTAAGATATCATTCACGCCTTCTCTGTCTCTTCCTGCTCGTCTACGCTGCTTACTCTCCTAAACTCGTGCGAGACGGGGCGTTCCAAGCCTTCCACCTGTAACTGGCCCTCGCGGCGCTTGCGGTCAATCTCGCGCACGCGATCCGACAAATCTGTGACGTGGGCGTCACCACTCTCCGGACTTAGCTCGTTAAGGGCCTTCTCCAGACCCAACAGGTAGTCCCTGTTCAGACCGCTGGGACCTTCGCTGACGTAGATGTGCTCGGCGAGTGCCTGCGGGTCTTGCGGTCCCGTGAACTGGTCATTATCGGGGGTGCCGATGTAGACTAGAGTGCGGATGGACAGCGACCCGTCCGCCGGGTGGAAGGGCGTATAGTGGATCGTATACCCGTTGATCTCCCGGATGTCGAGGTATTCCTTTACCTCGGCTACCTTGTCTGCTTGGATTCGGTACGCGGTACCCCATACCTTCTCGGGCGCCGAGTCATGCGCGTCGACGAGGGATGCCCAGAATGACCTCTCGATAAGAGTGACAACGCGGCCGGGAGCTTCAGGTGTCCCGCGATGGTCTTGGCTGAGAATTTCTTTGATGTCAGAAGATGATATAGTCCACATATATTAAACTTGCTGGCCCTTGTCGTCGCCACACACCAATGCCGAGTTGGCTCGAGTTAATCTCCGGGGTAGATTAAGCTTACCTTGCCTAAAGGTATGTCAGCCGTATACTTCTCAGCTAAGCAAAGTGAAGGGATCTATACCTGCCAGAACCGCCTGACATAGCCCGTGACCCAGCCGGGTACCCGTCGATCTAGCGGGAAGGCTCGGTGAGTTTCGGCCTTGGACACATATGTTGACGTAAAGGAAGCGAATAGTGAAGTGCTTCAGTATAGGATCTTACCATAGTGCGGAGGGGGTTTCCATATCAAGCTTCTACAATTCTATAAGTAAGGTTAAGCTGCAAATCTAGGGAAGCATCCGAAAGGATAACGCACCCATAACCGAAGATCCAGAATTCGTCCGTTTCGGGCGGCGCTCCGTTGACTGGCATCGTTGATATTTAGGTCAAGCTTCCTCGTTTGTCCTTCGCCCTTTTTTGCTTCTTTAATTCACGCACGCTTGCTTGAGTTATTGTCTATCGATCCAAATATATCATAACAAAGCTCTCCAATTATCATAAGGACTGTTCTATCCGCGAGTAAGAGTCATCGTCGTTCAATTTGACGGGAAGTCGGAAATGGTACAATAACGCCAAGCTTTTCGTCTTTTGCGGCTTCCTAAGCCATCGGGACTGCCGTCTTTCGCGGGCGCGGCTCCGGCCAACGGAGCATGTGCTGCACAGTACATACTAACACCGTGCCTATCTTACATACATAGGTTACCTAAGGTAGGTACCTATGTAATCCCGCTCTTATTATTCCGACAGTCCGACTAGGTGGTTATTATTTTTAGCATCTATGTGCCCTACGCAACTGGACCTGGATCTACGCATTGTACAATAGGTACATGCTGCGAACAGCTGCAGCTACCTACCTTAGGTACCTAAGCTCCAGAAATTCACCATTTAGGTAAATTTACCTACGGTATTACAATACCACAAGTCCAAAATCTCTGGGTAATTGCGATGAACGTTAGAAAAGGCTAATAGGCCGCGTCATAGAGTACCTACATAATGTACCTAGGACAGGCACATCATGTATACCAAAAAACTAAGAAATCCCCTAAAACGTGACCTCTCATATTAATATTAATCTTATTTTATTCCTGCAGCATCTCGAAACCTCATGCATAGAAGACCTCAGGTACCTACATACGTAGGTATGAAGCATGTATGCACCCCGCAAATACTTAAGAGTAAGGGAAGCATGCGCCTCGAAGCCCTTGTTTTGCTGCGCCATACCTGCTACGTACTATCGCATAGACTTGCCGCCATCTATGGAAGGATGGAAGGTGTTGGGAATGACAAAAGAACATGCTGTGGGTTCAGCGCAACCCACTTTGCAGGCAGTATGTAAAATATGAATATTGACCGGGATGCGGGACGGGACGGGATCGTCATGCCTGAGCCTCACTGGGGAAGCTGAATCTATTCTAATCCTTCAGAAGCTTCTTTTTCCATATAAGTCAGCCTTCGAGAAAGACTGAAAGCTCGCCCTGATTTAATTCCCCAGCTTCGGTCAAGATAACAGACAACCGGATTGATCCAATGTGTTATTACGTAGGTATCCAATGGAGTACGTATGGATGCTGTGGTAGGTACCTAGACGATGACACTGCCCCGGGCTGCCCCGCCGCTCAGCATCGGTGTGAACTGTGTGATTTTGATCGCCAGTCTGATGCCTGCGGATCTTTAGTATCAGTCAGACGGACACTAGCGGTGCCGGATATCCATAACAAATAATAATCTTTGCCTACCTACGTATTCTGGAGACCAAAGAGAACAGCTTGTTAACAAAAAATATCCGATAACAAATGCCCGACACACGCGGTATTTGTGATAATAAAGCAAACCACATTGCTTTTTATTTTCTTGGTATTTATTTTCTTGGTATTATGTACATAGTAGTTAGCCCCTAAATTGTTATTACATAGTTAGCTCCTTTGGGTCTTGGGTCTTAGGTCTTAGGTAGTTCTTGGTTCTGGCAGGTGCAGCCCTAGAGTTAAATCCTCAAGTTTGAACTTAATAATAATCATACTAATCTAACTACTACTACTACTTTCGTATCTTCCCTTTTGTCTTTCTCAACCCCTAAACCCCATGATCCTTGACTTTCATCTTTTTACCCCGATTTTATTGCGGCTGAATCTAGGTAATTGACTCTTTGTCCGTTACGTGAGGACTGGGTTGCACTGCCGCTTATTACTCGTCCGACACCTTTCCCAATTTAACTGTCCTATCTCACATCGACATCCTATAGGTATTCCGTACAAAAAAGAAAGCTGGGCTGCATTGCAACTTGCATTGCAACTACGCCTTCTCTCCTTGTCCCATATAGTAAACAAGTCTCCCCGCTAATTGCTGTCTTTACCGTCTTCATTCTTTTACTACCGGTATTAGTCGATTCCAAACTCTAGAGCGACGTAAACAGCAACATACTACACAATGGCTTACAACAGACCATACAATCCGGACGAACTGCCAAGGTGAGTCGCCGCCTAGTGCTACTATACCCCGCCATCGTCATCGCTCAGAACCGCGATGGTCTAGAGTGAAGGGACAAGTGTGATACTGAGACGAGGACGTTGCCATCTTGTCAGATGGATAATAGATATTCGTTTGATTTTCATGCGTCACAGCGATGGCTAATTTATTTTTGAAACCGCAGATTCGCAGAGCCCGACCCAGTACGTGCACGCACCTCCGCCTCCGTTGAACACTTTTTCTGCCCTATATTATAACCCCTGCGCCTGCGCGAGCCCCTCTTCTATCCACTCGTACTCGACTGTAAATAGCTAACATTCTTCCCTTCGTAGAAAGGCGCCGCGCCTCACCCATCCTCATCCTCTCGCTACGAGTCTAAGCCCCAACCGCCTGTTCCTAGCCCCCGACACGACTCTCTTCCGGCTCGTCGTACAGACACAGGACGTCTGACTCCCACTGGTTACGGCCCAAGCGGTTCGAGCGGTTATAGCAATAATAGTGGTGTCGGCCACAGCAACAGCTACGATCACGGCTATAGGCCGAACCTACAATCTACCATGTCGCCGCCGCCTACCGCCACCGGCCCGCGACCTACCGCCCATAACCGCCCACCTCCCACGAGTCGGCCACCTCCTTCTCCTACCCCTGGGGAAAGCGTTGCCGATCCTACCCTGCTACCGCTGTTCAAAGCTGTCGATAAGAATAGTACGTCTTCTCAACCTAACCGTGTTTCTTTGCCTAGATACTAACCCCTTTCGAATAGACACTGGTCAGCTCTCCGAAAAGGAACTATCGGCTGCTCTCGTAAATGGCGACTGGACGGCTTTCGACCCGCAGACGGTGCGCATGATGATTCGCATGTTCGACAGTGATCGGTCGGGGACGATCGGATTCGACGAATTCTGCGGACTGTGGTCATTCCTAGCATCGTGGCGAGCACTATTCGACCGGTTCGACGCGGACCGCAGCGGCAACATTAGTCCGGACGAGTTCAGCAACGCCCTCGTGGCCTTCCGCTACCGCCTTAGCCCCGGCTTCGTTGACCTGCTTTTCCGCACCTACGACAAGCGCAACGAGGGCGTCATGAGCTTCGACCTCTTCGTCCAGGCCTGCATCAGCCTTAAGCGTATGACCGACGTCTTCAAGAAATACGACGAGGACCGCGACGGTTACATTACTCTCAGCTTCGAGGACTTCCTCGTCGAGATCTTAAAGCAGCTCAAGTGAGGCAGAGGCCGGAAACTTCAAGTTTACACGGCTTCCCACGGAATTATTAGTATGGGGTGAGCAAAACCAACAGCGAGGATTGGCCGTATTTTTATATCCGCAATGGTCTGCAGGATAGATGTTACCTGTGGGGCTAGCAGCAAGTTCACGAATACGTTGCCGAATACGCGCCATTGTTCCGCGTAAGTGTAAGCAATCCTGACTTATGTTTCTATGGGCGGGGAGAGGATACGCATTCGAGGAATTTCGTTATGTGAGCTATCATACTATCTCATAGGGGGTTTTAGAAGTAGAGGCAGAGGCAGATGGTGGCATGCAGGCGAGGCAGGCCCGCGGATCTTATTGTTATTTTCGGTAGATACCACCACACTATGGCCATATGGATGCATAATGAACGAATTCATCTAACAGATGAATCTTTTTAAGTCTTAGCCTTTGCGATGGTATAATATTATCACGTTGTATAATAATAACGGTAGGTATCCCTCTCCTTTCTCCAAAAATCCGTAGCAAGTTTTTGGCCATGAATAGCAACGCCGTTGACTTTTTGTCCCCATGCCTTTCCCTAACCCTAGGACATAAGAAACCCTATTCCAAAAATGATATGCCCAAGTGGTTCACTAAAAATGACAAATCCGTAAAGACTAATTTTGTCTGCCCTTGGTATCATGTAGAAATCCTCCCCCGAAAAACACCAAAACCCGACAAGCCAATGTGCCTAAACATAAGAAATATCGTCCTGATAACGGACGATTACTTTTCCCTGAGCGAATAAACGAGCCTGCAACCTGGTAACTTATTCAAGTAGGGGTAGCCACAGACCTAAATCTGGAAAAGCCTCCTATTAATGACTTCTTTGTCTTCAGGTCACTAGGTATCTTCTCCCTACGAACGTGGATTGGTCTCAGGCTGCATTGACTTTTCACCTTGACATTTTGACGGGCCTGCGCGTCCCTGATAACCCATTGGTCGTCCATATTCTCCGAAGAACACCACAACATACCGTTTCCGGAGACGGCAACTTCGTCGCCGCTGCCGAGGCGCAGAATTTCTGTGGTGACGCCGCCGATGCTACAGTTACTGCCCTTCCGTACATGACCTGGTTTCTCCTTACCAGGCTTCCCTTCTTCGCCAGGGGCCAAGGCGCCTTCAACTTCCTCTCGCCGCCACCGTTTCGTTTTTAGCATGGCCGTAGCGAGGCCCCTGACATTCTTTTCCCCGTCGTGCGTGCTGAGCCAGATGCGCGCACCCAAGCGTGTCGCGATCTCAGCGCCTGTAGGTACGCCCGCGCAGATATTACCGCCGAGCCACCATGGATTTGTAACGCTGTCCATACAGTGCAGGAGAGCCGTTAGGGGGAGCGCTGCTTCGGCTACAAGATGTGATGTGACGTAAGATGCGATGTAGTCGTATGAAATGCCATGGGGCGAGAAGAGGACTGAGATGGGACGGACCATACCGGTAGAGGTAGCGGGACGAATATAGTTCTGGGAAACGGACCGTGGGAAAGAATTGCTTGGGTTTGAGCGCGCCGGAGAGGGAAGCAAGGTTGACGCGGACTGGACAGAGCGCAGGGAGCGTGGTGATACTGGTGGGGACGGGGGGAGGAGAAAAGGATTAAGGGTAGATGAGTTATTCGTAAGTGCCATATACGAACCCTGCATAGTAGGCGTATTAGGGGTAGCAGGTGGCGAGGGCGGTTTCGATATGGTAGGGATACCGAGTTGTAAGTGATGCGTTGGCGGAGGCCGATATGTTATACCAATTGCGCCATGTAGGCCAGCTAGGTCGCGTTTCTGCGGTATGAAGGCGATGGTGACTTCACCCCCTTGACCTCCGGACGTCACGGGCGGGACGGGAATTCGCACTACAGACTGCTTTCCTGTCAACCTCGGGTCTTCCCATCGTTCTATCGTCTGGATCTTCTCCTGATCAAAGTATTTCCAACTCTTGATCAAGCGTGCTGCTGCTGGTTCCGCAATGATGATCGTGTTTGTCCCACTTGCTGGTAGCTGCCGGAGCGTAGCTTCATTGCAATGGTCGCTCTTGTGTTGAGTGATGATGACGAGATCCGGTGGGAACGGGAGCTCCGAGAGCGAGGATATGCATGCCGGATGTATGTGAGTCGTAATCGAGATCTTAGAGTGAAATACCTTAGAAGGACCTGTTATCCAAGGGTCCAGGAGAACTGTGAACGGCTTCGGCATTACAATACGCTGTGCGAATTCAGGGATGATGGGCTCGAAAGATAGGAGAAACGAGGCATCGGAGTTGAGGTTCTTTATGGTTAAAGCCATTGCGGATGTCGACGTGCCTGGGGGGTTGTCGTCTAGACTCCCTCTTAAGGGGGTTGGAAATTGGCTATCATCCGTGGTCAAGAGAGCTTACAGATAATGAGGGACGAGCTGACTTCAAGAGCTTCAAGCGGAGAGATAAAGCAGCAAGAAAAAGTGATGACGAAAAGGAAAGTTAAGAAGAATCTAGTCTCAGCCGCCCCGATTAAAGAGGGGGAAAGCGAGTTAACTGTTTAACTGTCATACCACGGAGTGAATTGATGATAAAGCGATAAAGTAGGCGTACGAAGGAGAGGAATACTTGTTAAACATCGATCTATGATCCAATAAACTCACCATGTTGTGATATTGAACTATCATCAATAATCAAAAGTCAGGGTATACAAAATCCCTTGTCCGCTTTCCCGCTTTCCCGCTTTCCCGCTTTCCCGCTCTTTCTACATACGTACCAACACTTGTTGTGGAGGGCGAGGACAAGTTTTAGACAATGGATAGTCGACCATGTTTCACTTGGTTCAAGCTGGGGGGATGTGGCAGAGTGGCAGAGTGGATGCGAAGCTGTAAGCTAAAGGATCTGCAGATGGAGTGAGATGTTTCGGTGTTTTGTTGCCAAGTCTGTACGACACCGGTTGGTATCAATGCCGTCTGGACCGTGCCCCGCACTTTACACTTTCTTTGACACTTACCCTAGCTTGTCATTAAGGGTCTTTTACTGATTGGTCAACCTTCTACGGAATAATAGGTGGCTTTCGGGCTTACATAAATGTTCAGGTTTTTTTCTCATCCTAAAATAGATATTTCTACCGAGTATTACACGTAAGCGTTTATTATACGTACAAAGTAGCCTTAAGGCACAGCTAGTGTAACTATGCCTCTTTTTCATATTGATTATTAAACTATATGTAAAAATTCAGTTATTTATTAGCTTACTATCGTCAGGAATTAGTAAGTACCGCATGAAGATAATCATAATTTCATGTAACATTCCAATACGTACACACACACACACACACACACACACATACCTCGTGCCGTTGCCGCACAATGAGGAATGTTTTCTTTCTAATCGCTATATCTATTTGAGTATGACGTACAAAAACAATATCACCTACTATTATTTAGATTCCCGAAGAAATGGAGATATATTAATATCATTCCTATATAACAAAATTCGTATCTCATTTCCCAAATGTTCATTCCCTTAGATGACGACTTCCACTTGCCAATAATGATATCTCCCCGTCATAAGATCTACAGTTGTCCAATCAACTAGGTCCAGAATAATTATACAACGCATTTCAGATTTGTTTACTGTTAAATTACGTGGAATGACACAGTGATCATGCGGATAACTAGGTACAGATTGCTCAAGAAGGTCATTCTACATGAAAGCTACATGAAAGCTTTAACTACATATTTTCAAGTCTCTGGGTAGCTCTTAGCGTGACGTCTTCCTTTTCACCGAAGGCTTCGAGAAACTAGCATAGGGACCTTGTATAAAAGATGTTTTCTTTCAGTAACTAGCTCTACTGTAACTACAGCGTCAACGTAGTACTCGGCTTGTAGTACTTTAGCCTTCAACTTGAATGGCTGGATATCCATGTAGCACAGGCATTGACTTTTTCACCTGAAGATTAAGCTATATGCTTTGGATAGGTACTGAGCTTAAAGCACACGGATAGAGAAGCAGGCGGCTATAGGCACGTCCCGACTCTAACCCGACGTTAAAGCCTATTAATTAATACCGTTCAGGATGTCAATGCATAAGATGAATCGACCGAGGCTAACACCACGGCTAGTTTGCAGCGATACTTCCAATTCGTGTCGTCACATGTGAGGTGTTTCTCTCGTTGCTTAAATATTTCTCATGGGCAAAGCTCTACGAGGCGTCGACTAAGCCGTCAACGAATACGGGCACGCGAGTATATGAGCAATATATCAAGCGCCTGCAGGAGGTCGTGCGAAAGGAGTTAGGTTCGGTCCGACTAGAAATTCCGCTACGGAGAGTATGCTGTAGATACCTACCTAAGGTAGCTGGTCCTAAGGTAAGAATGTAATTAATTTCTAATCGAGCAGAAACCAACGTACGAATTTAAATAAGGCTTTTCGATATTATCGATAAGAACGGTTAGCTGTATGCCTTCGTCATCCTTTTTAGTTTTGAGACCCCGGTGAGGGGTAAAGGTGTGTAGAGCCCTGGAAGTGTGCAGCACTTGCCGAGAGTCAAGGTGAGAGAGGATTCGTCAATTCCTAAAGCTTTAACAGCACTGGGATCAGCGGTTACACAACTCAGATAGGTAACTACAATAGTTGATACAGCAGATGCAGCTTCCTCTCAGAGCTAATGTTTTACGATAAGGAATTATGAGAACACCTTCCTAGAGCTCAGGGTAAAGGGTAGAAGAAGCAAAAAAAGGGTTTGCAAGCTTGCAGTAGCGTACTCTCGTACTCCCCACATCAAGCCGAGCAATCATGTACATACTAGCATGTATTGTACATTTCTACCTACATAAGGTACATAGGTTAGGTACTCAAGGCTTAGCAGCACAGCGCCACTATGCATAGAAGGAACATTTTTCAGCTTCAGAGGAGTTCCCGAATAAAAATTTTTATCCGAGAAACCAAAATCAAGATACTAACAATAGCAAAGCGTAAGACCAATGTTTAGCCACGATTCAATTCTCGTACAAAAGGGCTCCATCTAGACTCCATCTAGACATTAGTTGGCATTGTCGGGCCAATCTCCCGAGTGGAAAGTCTTGGTGAAAGCAGCGCGTACAAGAAAAAAACCGACCAACTAATGCGATTGACTAGGATGAGAGCTTTTTACCACAGTTCTACTAGTCGCATTGACAAAGAAGAGAATTGGGTAGCTACCTACCTACCTATGTACAATATAATATGTACAGTACCCATGCTCGGCTGCCACCTACCGTAACTAGGGTACCTAGGTAGGTAATCCGGCTTCGTCTGGAATGAAATGTATCGAAAAAAAGCCACATCCGCAATCAGACAATCAGACAATCAGAGAAGCGATGGCAAATTGGGAGCTCATGTTCCATATCTGATGTCATAAGCTGACGAGCTTAACCACGGGTTCTTTTCATATTTCCGCCGACAGGTACAGCCAAGGAGAATACTCGCTTTTCAACTGGAGAGGGGGAGATGTGTGGAACAAGTAGCATGCATGTGAGAGAAGCGTGCGAGATGGAGAGCTTCGATAATGAAACGAGCCCGCCTGCCCGCTTGGCCCGCCATGCTAGGTACAATACCTCAATACATACATACTATATTGCTACCTGGCTACCTGGCTACCCGACAGAGTCTTCCTTCGATGCCCCGCCATTTCTCAAGCCTCCACTTGAAACCTCCACCTATCGTATCACCTCCGCAAGCTTCTGCCTGCCTACCTGTCTACCTGCTCAGCCAATGCCGGAGCTCTCACCAGTACATCAGTACATATGTACATACCTAGACGGATGGATGGATTCGGTCAGTGCATCCACCTTACCCACCTGCAGAACCCCTCGCCCCCTCAAGCTTCCTGCTGCGGCGGTACTGCAAGCCGGGGCTTTGTCTAGCTAGTACCTCGAGGCAAGTATGTAATAATGCATTCATGTCTCGTGGGAAGCAGCTGGCTCTATTTGTTATACACCATGAGGTGTAAGGTCGCATTCAACCCGTCTTTACCATTCGAGGATCCCACCCCCTGCTCCTGGTGCACTGCAGGTATTATGTGCTTGTACACTTAGAGGCAACAAGGAATAGAAAACCTTGGCCTCTTTTTACTTAGCTTGCTCTAGTTATCTGAAGCTAAGAAGCTTGCATCGCCAAATTCCGAACAGCTAGGCCTGAAGCTCTGACGACGCTCTCAACTCAAAAGGAATCATTGAGCTCTCTGGAAGTTCTATTGCTACCGGAGGTGCTTGCGTCGTCGGCTTTTCTCTTTTTATTATTTGCATCATTCATTTGCATCATTGTTTTATTTCCCACCCCGCCCATCACAGAAGAGACCCCACTCCCAATGTTCAAATAGCCATCCGTCCCAGCCGATCCTCGATCAAGTCAGAAGGGAAGCTGTCCGGTCTATTTAAATCGAGTTAAGAAAGAGACGGAGTGGGACAGAGCCAATAACACGGCTCTCTCTCTCTGTCCGCTCTGATTTGAACTTGCCGCACAAGCTTGGGGACAAATTTTTTGTACTCGTGTATGTATATACGTATGTGCGATACAATGCCTGCTTGTCTGCGACGGGATGCTCGTCTTTCATTCGCTTTGGTTGGATCATCTATCTTTTGGGCTGCTTTGGATGACAAGCTCAGTTTACCCTGTCCGGGGGGGCAGGCTTTGCTCTCTTTGTTAACAGCTACTCAATGTTCCCGCATTAATACCTTGCTAGGTGTGGTACCTATCTAGGATACCTACACCACCAGACCACTTACATATATACATACATACATATGTATACGCGCATCTACCATTTACATCCCAGGTCCCCAGGTCCATCTACCTTAAGGTAAGGTATCCCAAGGCCGTCGATCCAGCTTTGGTGTGTGGAGTACAGGTAGGTACTTATTATACCTTCTGACCCTGACTTGTGGCCACTGGCCACCCTACATCATGTATTATTAGTACTATGTAGTAGTACTATCACAGTGTTCCTCCTGTGTTCCTTGTGTATTCAATGTTCCTTGTCTTCTTACCTACCGACCTATCTAAGCTAGGAGATTCCAGTACCGCTGCTTTCAGCTACCCTTCCCCCCTCCCTCCCAATAAGGTCACCCTTCCGGTCTTTTCTCTTTCCTCTGCCAACACCCACGAGAGACAGAGAGAGAGGAGAGAGAGTAAGGTCTTCGAAACACCTCATGTAACACCTGTATAGGAGCTTGGAGCTACCTCGGCAGAGCTGTCATTATCCTTTCTATGTCGAATTTAATTATTACATACCTAATCTTCAAGCTTCATAGACTTGGACTATCGTCAATTGGTTACTATTAGTGGTGCTTCTTATCGTCGACATTCGTATCCGACTATCGATCTTGCGAACTTCCCCCCCCGCCTTCAATTCCCGACCAGTAAATGGCGGGGTTGACTGGGTCAAGATGCCGCCTCGATCTTCCTTAACGTCTTCATTCTCAATTACCGACTCGAACAATGAAGTCGTCTGTCCTCTGCGAAACCAAGATGGCTCGAGCTGTCGCAAGCGCTGTATTGGCGTAAGTTGCAACATCTTACTGACTCGCATCCCGAAGGATTGAATTACGAAGCTGTATCGGGTTTCAACCCAGAAGCTATGTCGCAAAGCCTAGGAAAGACAATGTCTAACTTTCCATTTTGGAACAAATAGGAAAAGAGATATCGCTCAATGCAAGAGCATATTCGACGAGCGCATCCAGAGCATTACATTTCGAAGCTCCCCGCGACCGAGGAGAGCTTCTTGCTTATGATTAACACACCTCCGTCAGATCGATCTCAAGTTCAGAACTCTGCCGGCCCACCACCAGGAAGCCTCGACCCGAACAAAGGCTATCCCCACGAGCGTCATGCATATTCCCGAGACGCATCTAGCGCTCCCGGGACCCCTAGGAACCATGATGAATATTCTGGGGGCTCGATTTTGCCTGCCGCGAGTGCCGCTGCTGCTTTGGCTCAGTTAGGTGGCCAGCACAAGTTCGAGACGGATTGGGATAATGAAGCAGTAAATACTCACCTAACGTCACTATAATCATTGATAATATCAATGCTGATTCTGATCTTGAAGGGCTGGCAGTCTGACAACGACGGCCGGAGAATACCGAGGAGTACAATTGAACTACCTCCCATACATTTCGGAATGGAGCCAACTAGCGAACCATTCCCTTCAATTAACTCTGCACCGCGTAGGGACTTGCTCCCGTCAATTCTTTCAAACTCCCCACCAGGTCGTTCGTCGACTCTTCCTCCTCTTCAACGATCGCTTGGTCCTAACCGACCCAGAAAGCAATCTATCACTAAGCGTGGCCACAAGAAGCAGAAATCCCGAGGTACCGCAAACGAATGGCTCCGGAGAATTCAGAACGATGAGCGCCTTAAGCCGGGTGGGACTGATCGTAAGGCTCATTCCGTCGAGCCCACAGCCGACTACGGCAAAAGGTGGGAAGACCTCATTGATGCTGCAGCCTCGGCTACAGAAGATATTGATGAAGACAGGACTCCTGTAAGTCGTGCCCGGCACATTTATTTTCCTTCTCTAACGTCCCAGGTTCCCCAATCTCCTATATCAATACACCGAGCTTCCTTACCCCCATTTCCCCATCAACATTTCCAAGGCTATCAAGCTTCTCCTCTGCAACAAGCTCTTACTCCACCATCCTTTGCACAAGAGATTCCAGAGCCTTTCCCATCCGTCGAGAGTGGCGAGAGCGGAGAAAACTTCCATATAGGAGCCTCTGGACTTTCAGATTCGTCGCCCAGCTTTTCATCTCAGGACGTGCATATCTATTGTGCTGCGTGCCAGAGAGCGTCAAAGCTCCGGGAATCTTATGCATGTACAGAATGCATTTGCGGCCTATGTCGAGATTGTGTCAATATCTTGATGGAGGAGCAAGGAGCCAGAAGAAAATGCCCGCGCTGTGCCACTATTGGTGGCAGGTTTAAGCCCTTTCAGTTGGATATCCGATGAAGCATCTCGCCACTATTATACTCAGCTCCAAGGATCTAGCCCAGCAATCCGGTGCCTTCCCCTTCCGGACAAGCATACCATCACCAATGACTGTCACTCACCAATATCTATACAAACGGCATACTGCTAAGACAGCTTATGGCCCCTACTATCCTACTATAGAGCCCATTAGAGGCCAGGCCGTAGACTTGACAAAAGGCTATGTCACCAAGTGGACAATCTGAGACACATTCTAGGCTAAAGGCCACGATCCACGATATGAGTTTACACGGAATCGAATAACGCCCTGCTTGAGGAATGTGAGCGGCCCGCGTATGCCGCCACGATTTCTTATGACGTATAGGATTGGCGTACTTGGGAGTGGACATAGAGAGCGTTTGCATTTTGCGACGGTCATTCCGAATGAGCCTATTCACTTCTATCCTCTTCATTAGGGGACGACATATGTTGCTGGCCGCTTTACATACCGGAATTTTCTTTTGTTATAGGGAGAGGATTGATTCCCCCGGCGTTCCACGTGGGATATTTGGTTATTTATGATATTTATAGTCGATTTGAACCCCTTCTGTTTGAAGGGAATCGCTGTGCGGACGGTTTGATCTGGGATACTCTTGTTTCAACGGCAGCAAGACTCGCATCGATACGCAAGCTGGCCGGCTCTTTGTTTTATCTGGGAAAGAGACGACACGAATGATTTAGGGGGGGGGCGTTTTACGGTTAAGACCAACGTTACAAATAGCAATGCGATCATGAACATTACGTTATATCCGCTTAAATAGCCCAGTTATATATACACACACGAATGAAGAGTAGAGCTCTAATTCATCAGTTACCATCTTGCTGGTTATTTATCTCTTGATGTTTACTTGATTGAAACTAAGCTTCTCGGTTCCTATAGTTAACTGCCTACCTGATAGAACATTACTGACATATGATGCTTAGGTAGTTTAGTAAAATACGGTCTAGTATGCAACTGAAGCCAACCGCCTGCTACTAGGTTGGCGGTAATTTATCTTAATTATATTATTATCAAAGGACAAAAAGGTATTGCTTTGGCTGTAGTATATTTCATATATACCTAGGTACTAGTTTTGATGCTATAGTAAACTATTATAAACAACGTTTTGACTCGCCAACGAAAAACTCACGCATGTTGCTGTGCAGTTCTCCTTTCGTGTTACGGGACCAACGTAAAAAAATAGAGAAAGAAAAAACAAGACATTAGGCAATTCGATGATATACTTCCTCCCTTAATACGGATGGATCCATGTACGCATACCCTATAGGACCTACTTAACGCCGCAGTATTTATATTTACCTACCTATGTATGTATGTACTAAGGTACCCAAGCATGCGCGACAACCGCCCCCCTCTCGTCCTATTATCCCTCTCGCCTCGCTGCAAGGGATCGATCCCATTACCGAATCCCCGACGGGAAAGCCCCGTATCGCAAGCAATCAATACAAAGACAGATGCGCCCTTCGGCCTTCGCCTCACCGAGTCTTCCCCTTCGCCTCCTTCGCCTTCTCCAGCAGCAGATTGCGCATGGCGGCGCGCACGTTGCGACTCCCGCCGAGCTTGGGGCCCTTGAGCACGTCTTCGTCGGCAGCAGCGCCGCCCTTGCCGCCGCCGGGGCCGCCGGACCCGGACCCGGACGGCGCGTTCGTCGGCTTCTTGCGCTTCTGCTGGCGCTGGGCCATGGCGTCCATGAATTCGCGCCGGAACTCCTCGGCGATCCGGTCGTCGGCCGCGCCGTCGTCTTCGGCGCCGCTGCCGGGTGCGGCGGGGGGCGGGGTGGGCGCTTCGTATACGTCGACTGTGTGTGGGGAGGTATGTTAGTTAGTATTGGAATTACTTGTGCGTGTGGACTTTCATGGTATTGTATTGTGGATGGGGGGTAGAAAGAAAGGAAGGAAGAAAGAAAGAAAGGCTTACGTCTGCTTTCCCGGAGAATCTCCTCGACCAACTGGTCCCTCTTGATATCGTCGCTATTCCGCCTATTCCGCGACCTCCAGGGCTTGCCGTCCCGTCCGAGTCGGACTTTCTTCGGGCGACCGCTCTGCTGCTGCTGCTCGTCGTCGTCTTCAATGGCTTCGCCGTGCAACTTCCGCCTAGCACGCTCCGTCAGCGCTTCGTTGCGGCTGCGGGCCTCGTCGCCAAGGTCGATCTCCATAAGCTGGCCTTGTAGCGCTCTATTCTGCTGCTCGGGTCTGGGCACCGCTGTCACCGTCGCTGTCGCTATCGCTGTCGTTGTCGCTGTCGCCGGTTGTTGTTGTTGTTGGTGTCCCCGATTAGACGAGCGCGCGGCTGGGTTGGAAGAGAGCGCCACAGCGTTGTGTCGCTTGGCTAGTTCGGCTTCTATATATTCCTCCCTTGCTCCATCAGCAGCTGCGCAGCGGTCGCGGGGTTGCGCGCCGTGGGGAAGGGTGAGACTCACATGTGCTTGTTTACTAGTTCTGCCGCCATACCTGTCTGCGGCGCGAAACGCTTCTTCACGCCTGCCGCGATATCTAATGCTTTGTTCTCTTCCTCGCGGATCATAAGACTAAGGTCGTCGAGACCGTCTCCAAAGCCGTTGGCGACGGCTGCTGCCGCGTCGTTGGAGCCGTAGTTGCTTCCCGCGCCGAACTTGACGCCGCCTAATCGAGCTTTTCGCGCATTGCGTAGACGAAGAACTTCGGCTACTGAGAGGCCTTTCTCTTCATCCTCTGCGCCCTCGCTTTGAATCGGGGTGGCGACTTCAGCTTTTCCGGGAGTGTCTGATGCGGTCGGTGTTCCTTCTGGTCGTGGCGTATCTGCGCATCTTGATCGTTCGTCGTCGTCGTCGGCGGGTTCTGCTCGTTGTCTGTAGGTCTTCCTTTTTTTCCCACGGAAGATTACTTGAGGCACGGGTGTCGACTCCGAAGCCGCACTATCCATGATGATAGTCCACAGCGGATTAACGGAGATGCGTTTGGTTCGAGATTGATGGTTTGTATATGTATTTGGGTGATACGGAGTAGGCTTAGGTACGTACACCGCATTGAAAGTCGAAGACAAACATCAGATAGTTAGTTCTAGTTTACCCGATAATCTGCCGCTTATCGCTTCTCCACCGATACCGTGTTGATAAAGCTTCTTAGTCGTCATTGTACATGGGCTTGTCCAAAGCTACCCTGCATAGGTATGAACTGTTATCTACTACCGTGCATACGATCTAACCATCTATTACACCACAATTGAAGCTCCAAAATGACACAAAGAGTAAGTGATATATTACTTCGGATAGAGCTAATATCGAGTTAGTAACTAATCAAGATGTTGATGTTAGGTCTACTTCCTTGCCCACGGCCGAGTTCAAGGTACGGACTCCACTACGATGATAACGAGTAAGCAACCCGTATCAGTAGATTAGAAGACTGACGTCACAGTGCGATAGGCGTGAGCTACCGCTATTTCGCGCAGAAGAAAGCAGCAGAACACAGTATTACTGGATGGTGTCGAAATACAGAACATGGGAAGGTGAGGAATTGCTAGCCTTTTATTACTACTACTCTGTATGAAATGACAACTCACTCGTGTCTGTTAGGTTGAGGGCGAGGCCCAAGGACACGAGGATTCTATCACATTGTTCTTAAAGGAACTCGACAAAGGCCCAGCGCATGCCCATGTTGTCAAGTTAGACAAGGAACCCCGAGACGTACAGGAAGGGGAGGTACGTTTCGAGGTACGAAGATAGGGGCTCAAAGCTATGTTAGTATTATAATAAGTCAACTATAATCAAATAAGTCGTAAAACCGAACGGGCTACTGCCGTTTATGAGGTAGATATCGTAATATTTCAAACATCATTAACAAACTTCTAGAAGCCCCTGCCTTTCCTCTTGGCTACAGGCTTCTTCACTGCGCCAGAAGTAATAATCTTCTTCGCTTCCTTGTTGGCTGCGGGCTTTTTAACTGCCCTCTCCTCTTCCAATTTCTTTTGGTCTTCATACCTCTGCTTATCTTCTGCCATCTTCGCCTCGATCTCCATCTTACGGTTGAACTCGGTCTCTGTAATTCGCTTTTCTCGAGCCGAGTACCCCTTCTCTTTTACCGAGTAGAAAACACCACCTAACTCCGCAAGCCAATGGGGATCGACTGACGTCACTGTTGACATGTACTCTTTTGACGTGAGGATAAGCTCGTGATATATTACGTAGTCGGGAAGAAAGCCGAGACCGTATAAGGCGCTTGTGGGATGGAGCTGTACGGTAACTGATGTGCGTAGATTGATATACTCCCCTATACCCTTGACTTTGGCTGCCTGATGGTAGTAACCGGAGCAAATACACTTGCGAATGATATCCCAATCCGTACCGCAGCTGATCATCTGCATCTTTTGCATCTTCATGATATCAAGAAGCTGATCTCTAATCTCCTTTGCTCTCCGCAGAGACTTTGGGTGCAGGAAGTGGCGTGTACACCAACCATCCGAATAGCCATTGGTTTTCCATTGTGAATACACGTGGAGGTAGGTTAGATGATCGGACTCGGGAACGAAGAATTTCTCGCGCGCTGCATCAGACTCTTCTTGTCGTTCCTTGGGACGGTAGAAAACGTTAGGGACGGAGAGCATGGAGACAATGGTAACCATTTCCTCGCTACAGCCATACTCCTCGGACATGATGAGGAGCTTTGCTAGAGAAGGGTCCATAGGGAACGCGTTCATCTTAGAACCGAGATCTGTCAGCTCTCCGAGGTTGTCCAACGCACCCAAAGCCCAGAGATCGAAAAGGGAGGTGGTAATGGTATCCTGCGGTGGCGGATCCATAAAATCAAAGTCGAGCAAATCTCGAACACCTAGTGACTTTAATAGAAGCACTGTATTGCTGAGATTAGTCCTTTGAATTTCGGGTATCGTTTGAATATAAAGTTCGTCCTTGAACGCCTTCTCGGTATACAAGCGAAACGCTTTACCGGGGCCTGTTCGACCGGCACGGCCTGCGCGTTGGCCTGCATTCGCTTGCGATATTGGTGTGATCTGGAGCGTGTCCATACCCATCCGAGGGTTGTACACCTTTAGCTTAGAATATCCCGCGTCCACCACGTACATAATACCGTCGACCGTCAAACTAGTCTCTGCGATATTAGTAGCCACAATACATTTCCGCACTCCAGGAAGGGCCCGGTCGAAAATCTTGGCTTGTAGATCTGCTGGCATCTGACTGTAAATCGGAAGGATGCTGAGCTCTGGTGGATCGTTAAGGGCGTCTAAGCGTTCTCGCACTAGTTCGCAGGTACACTCGATATCTTCCTGTCCAGTCATGAACACTAAAATGTCGCCGGCGCCCATTGATACGTGTATCGCGAGCACTTGCTGAACCGCTTGATCGACGTAGTCTTCGACTGGCGACCGGTGAAACATAATATCAACAGGAAAAGTTCGACCTGGAATAGTGAACTCAGGGGCACCACCAAAGAAGTCCGAGAACCGCTTCGAATTCATGGTGGCAGACGTAACAATTAACTTGAGATCTCTTCGGCGTTGTAAGATCTTGTTGAAAAGCCCCATTAACACATCCGTATTTAGCGCGCGCTCGTGAGCTTCGTCCATGATTACGCATGAGTAACGGTCCAGATCCCTCTCGTTAAGCGATTCTCGAAGTAAAACACCATCGGTCATATACTTGATGACGGTGTCTTTACTAGTACAGTCTTCGAATCGAATAGCATAGCCAACCGTACTACCCAACTTGACTTCCATCTCCTCGGCCACACGTTTCGCTACACTCATCGCCGCCACTCGTCGAGGTTGAGTGCACCCTATCATGCCTGATTTCCCGTACCCGTCTTCGTATAAAAACTGTGTAAGCTGTGTCGTTTTCCCCGAACCTGTCTCGCCAACTACTATAACAACTTGGTTGTCTCGAATCACCCTCAGTAAATCTTCCCGGACTGCAAAGGCGGGTAGAAACTCTCTCTGCTCCCTCAAGGTTTTACTCTGACTAAAAGCGCTTGCGCCTTCGTTCTTTTTCATGTGCTCGCTGAACTTGTTCTCTCCGGACTTCGGTGCGTCTTCTTCTGTGGCTATCGGTAAAGCGCTATCCCCCTCGTCTTCTTTCACGCCCAAGACATTTCCAAGGGCGGTACCGGCCATGTTAGTAGCCTCTTTAGCATGACGCTGACGTTCCCTTTGCTGCCTCCTTTCTCTCACCACGCGGCTCCCTTTACGACTAAATACAGCCATGTCGCTCTGATAGTCCCTAACAGCTGGAACCGGCTCCAACTGCTTGGTAAACACGGTCCGTCCATCTAAAAATGGTGGCTTGAGGTCGTGAATTAGTAAGTGAACGCGAGTTCCCTCGTCATCGTCTTCGAAGTCATCCCCTAATGCACGTCGTTGAGCGACACCGGAAGTAAGCATACGATTAGTCTCCCAAGCATCGTTGTCTTTTTGCCTCTGCAGTTGGCGCGCATTCATATGTCGTCCAGATTTCTTCTCGACCAATTCGGCCTCCCGCTGTTGCTGCTCGACCCATGAAGTATCGTACGATCCAAACGGGTTATGGGAGTCATCGCCAAAGGTATGTCCACCAGTCTCGTCACCAGTATACCAGTCGCGATCAAGGGCATTCTGCTCATCTGCGCTCACTAGGGGTTCCGGGCCGTCGAACTCTTGCTGCTTTGGGGTCGAGGCGTAGTTCGATTGCGCGCGAGGCGTGGAAGCGCGCGAGCTTGAGCCATGTTGGAAGCGGTTGTGTGGTCGAGATGAGTGGCTCCGATTTGGGAGAGATGTATAGCGATCATCGGAGCGCAGGGGATTGAAATCTATTTTGCGCCTCTTGGGGCTAAAATTGCCGTCCTCCCTATCCATCCCGAGGGTATTTGTATGTAGTAAGTTGGTAGGTCGAGATGGTCTCGAGCGGTGTAAGTATTAAATCGTAAATCGAAATCGCGGAAGGAAAACAAAAGGTAAAGATGGGCTCGGCGTTCTTGGCGTTCTTGGCGCTAACCGCTACATAAGCTACCTAGGTACGCTAAATTTCCTTATCGATCTTTTATCAGCAACTGCCCCGCTAAAATTTTATCTCGAATTTTTGTAAAATCAAAAGTTGGCGGGGCTCTTTTTAGATTTCTTGCGCCGTATTGACCTGTCTATTAGGAATATTTTCTTGGGCAGATCGAGTCGCCAGCAATTAATCATGTCGTCTATGATAACGACGTCTACTTGGGTACGACGAGGCTTTGCGGCGCCGTTCCCTGCCAAGTACGACTTCGACGAGGCCGAATTCGACAGGATAGCCAACCTAGCTAAGTTACAATTAGACGATGCGAAGGAAGACCTAGAGGAAGCGCAAGAAGAAGAGGAAAATGGAGCAGGCGATGACAACGATGACAACGATGACAACGATGACAACGACGGCGACAAAAATGCGAACGAGTCAGATCACAAATCCCCAGCGCAAAATGAAGAGGCAGACGCAGAGGAGTAGGTCTACTATTATTGTATTACGTATAACTAGCTACTAATTATGTCCAAAGCATCGACATAGACGACGCGGACCTTAAGGAGTACGACTTAGAGCACTATGACGATGATGAGGAGGAGGGCGAAGGCCAACGAATGGACATGTTTGGAAACATCAAGTCTTTGGCATACTACGAATCCAATAAAGACGACCCCTACATCACAATACCCGACGGCCAAGACGAGGATGACGAAGATAGGGAAGAGTTACAAATTCTAGCCACAGACAATCTACTACTAGCCGCGAAGGTCGAAGACGAGCTTGCGCATCTCGAGGTCTACGTATACGAAGACGAAGCAGACAACCTCTACGTACACCACGACGTCATGCTTCCTGCGATACCTCTTTGCGTAGAGTGGTTAGACATTCCCGTGTCAAAAAACAACGTGGATAAAGATTCGGTAGCCAACTTTGTCGCCATAGGGACGATGGATCCCGATATCGAAATCTGGGATCTGGATACTATAGATTGCATGTACCCCAATGCGATTTTAGGCCAGGGGAGCAACCCGCAAGAAGAGGA